GGCAGCCACAGCGCCCGTCCCACGGCAGGAGGCAGCGGGCACGGGCTCCGCTGCGGGAAGCCCCTTTTAGACACGAGGCGCCTTCGCTGCGAGGGGAGGCCGGAAACCTGAGCGGAGACGACGGGGAGAGGCCCCGGGAGCGGCGCCCGCCTGGAGCGGGAGGGAGGCGGCTCCGCAGGGCCCCCCGCGACAGCGGCTGGGGGCAGCAGAGCAGAGGGCTTCTGAGCTGGGACTTCATGTTAGCCTCTCAGCCGTCTTCATGGAGCTTTCTCATTAAAAAAAATCATTTGGATTTTTTTTTTCAGACTAAATCCTTATGACTTTGAGATATGTTTAGTGCATCTCATAGTACCTTGTCTAAGGATTACCTCTGATTGAGCAAAGAATCCTTTTCCACGAGGAGGGCTGAGTTGCTCTTGTCATGCAGTGTTCAACTGTTTTTTTTTGGGGGGGGGGATGTGTGTGTATATATGTATTATAAAGAACCTTAGATTCAGTACAGTAAAATTGTACATTTGCAGCTATGGCAAATGGAGAACTTTTTGTTGTAAATTGTATTTCTAACATTCACATGGTTAATCCATATCAAAAAGTTATACTTAGAGCCATTTCATTTGTTTACATTAATTGCATGTATTTGTTTCCCCTTTTATATTAGTTTACACGGTTATTTTTGTGCATGTTCAGTTCCGTGTGTGTGTGTGTTTTTTTTTTTTTTATTGTTATCCTTAAAGTCATTGTCAACTAATTTTATTTTAAATTGTTTAGAAACACATAGCTCATGGCCTGGTCCCTGCTGCTACCATAGCTCCTAAACCTGCAGTTCCCCGCACCCCTCCCCCTCGTAGCCCAAACCCTTCTCCAGAAAGGCCCAGGTAGGTTTTGAGTTATTTTAAAATTTTTACTTCCTTATTTTCATTTTATTACACTAGCATAGTAGAAAAGCATGATTAGAAAAATTGCATGTCCTAACTGTGGTACTTATATTCTATTTATGAAGACACTTCATATTTTTTTTAATTGGATCATTTTCCTTCTTTGGACTGTAAAATACATACATGCCTCCCTTTCGTAGGAATGCTCAACACTTTGGATTAATAACTTTTCTGGATATGTAACTTATTACAAATCTGGGTCATTTATAAAGAAATACACTCGTTGGGGTAATTTGGCTACTAGAGTAGAGCGGAAGACTAGCAGTACTAGCACCTTCAGTGAGGAAATTTAATAACCCATTTACAAAGCAGAAATTAACCATGTGTCACTGTAAATATTCTATAAAGTAAAACATAGTTAAAAGCTTGCATTTAAAAATGTTTGATAAGCTTTGAATTAGCTATACAGTCAAGCTATATAAAATAAAAACAAATTTATTTTCCCTTCTATTTTTAGTTTCTTACGGGTTTTCCTTTATACTTTCTCTACATCTAACTCAATTCTGGTGGTTTTCTAGTGCCTGTAACATTCCTACTTGATACTAGTTCACTTCTTCCTTTTTTGATCCCAGTTGTTGTCATTCCTGTTACAGTCTTCACCCATTCTCTTTTTTAGTCCTTTGATTTTTTTCCTCTTCATCTTACCCTTATGTAGCATCCGTCAAATAGGCACTTCTGTGCACTTCTGCTTGTGCTGTGTTGCAGTGCTCTGGCATTTA